TAAATTGTCATTCAGACTAAGGATGATTATTTCCTTAGAAATTATGCATGGACAAACACATGTACATACAATTGATAATGAAAATAATTTTATTTTTAGTACTTGAGTTATAGTTTTAAAATCTGTCGGTGAGATTAACTTAATCCCTTGAGCATTTAAGAACCATTTCTGAGACCGTCACCAAAAGATTAGCACTTGCTTTTCATTGACAGGATGCCCCATAAGAAAGATGTTTATCTGTAGGGGTGCTGGATTTCCAAATTGAAATAATGTCTGTTGTAAGCTCTTGGAATATATACACTTTGTGAAATACAGAAAGAGTGGAACAGTGCCTTTTCATACAGCTCGTGGCACAGATACGTGGCAGTTTATGCAGGTAAAAATTACACGTTGGCAAAGCTACACAGAAACTCATTTCCTATCAGATAAGAATATAAATTTTTGAAGATAAATAAAGTTGTAGTAGTTCTTGTAACAAATGCTCAAAGTAGGTTATTATTCAGGAATAGCATTGTATTCTAACATGTATGCCTGCTGCCAATGTTAGAGGGTAACGGAGGTTACCTGAGGGGTTATTCTTTCTGGGTTTGAAAAGCCCAAGAGGAACTCACTCATACTTGGTATTCCAAGATGTTAGCATGTGAGGCTGCTCAGTCTCTGCTTCCTGTAATGAGGCCTTTTTGAGAGAACTGTTTGTGATTTACTAGACATAAACTCTTGTCTGTGTTAGCAGATCTTTGCCAACCTCATGCCTATCCCAACAAACAAAAACTGTGTTACTGATTCTCCTCTCCTCGTGTGTACTTCAATGTGGTCCTGTTCCTGTCAATGTATTTTCTTCAGATTTATATAGCACAAATAGAAGAATAATCTGATCCTTTCCTCTGGTTTTATCTATGGACTGTGAATCAACTGACTTATTTTAAAGCAGTTGTGATTCAATGGGGATGTTTTTAATTTGCTGCCTGTTCTCTTTACCTCTGAGGAAAGAATTTTGTAAATGCTGAATAATTTTAGAACATGTTTTCTTGGTTAAGGGTTGGATCATATTTTAAATTAGTTTTAAGAGGAAGGAAATAGTGTAAATGCTGTGGAATTCAGATAAGCACTGTGCGTAGGAAACAAGTACTTTAATTTAGGGTGCCTAGAATTGGTAGGTCAAGCTGATGATAATAAAGGACCAGATCTTAACTTTGGTTCAGAAAACATGTAATCAATATTCACTCTCCTGTGTTATTTCCTCTTTGCTCGAGAATTTATTTTGGTTAAACTGAAGTGTGCAATTGCTCAGATATTCCACAGGGTGTCACGAGGCAGTTGTTAGAATCATTAATACTTGGATGAAAGTAAGGAAAGAAACTCAGTGTGCAGTCTGCTGAATGCCAGTTAATGTAATTTTAGATGTGACTAATACACATGCCATAAAATAAAAAGTTCTTAACTCATTAACACATGTATCTTATTTCTGTATCTGTATAAAACATACACATGAAGAAAAATATTACTAGAGATCGTTTACAAGAACTATTCTATGCCAAGTTTTCACCAAACCGTTTCTAAATATACCTTAATGTTTTATAGCTTACAGAACAAGTGGAATAATTTTCCCTGGAGTAGTAATCTGACATACCAGACCATGTATGTATATAATAGTAATTTAAAAAATGCAACATTTGCATTTTTCTTGCTGATGTAAACACCTTCTAATTGAAATCTACTCCTTTAAATTTACTTTCAAATTTTATTTTAATTTAATCTTTTTCTTTTAAAATTTATTTTAACTTCATACAATACCCACAGCTGTGCTCCAGGCATGATAATTTGTTAATTATTTGATATGTTTTTTTGCATGTGGGGATCAAATTTTCTATTGTCATAAATTTTGAGTTCTGTGAAAATGCTCGTGTGAAGAATTCATCTTCAGATTTGTAACAGAATCTTTAAATGTAGTTTAACAGTTATTATGGAAAATCCAGATTCTGTTTAAGTCTGAATTGCTTGAAATGAAAATAATGTTGGCCATGAGAAGAATAACATTATTTTATGAAATGAACAGAAAAAGTTAGTGACTTATCTCATAGTGTTTATATGTTGTCCCACTACATGTTTAATTTGAATAAGTATTGTAACCATCTTTTCAGTTTCATCTTTATTTTTTATCCTTCCTAATGACCATACCTTAAGAAATTATCTAATCTTTGACATCTTCAGGATATAGGAAGATTGTTTTTGCTGAAATGACCTTTTCTTATTCATTGAGATCATTTGATTGGGATGATGGAAGAATATTATCCACTTCTTCTAACACTGAAGACAGTCATTTATTCACAGCTCTTCTACAGAGTTTAAAGTTTCTGTATTTAAACACTGTCATAAGGAAAAAAAAAAAGTACTCAACTTTATGCAGAAGGTGCATTGAGTGCACGCTACCACAGGAGTAGGAAGGCTACCATGATTGCTTGGCTGATCAAGAATGTATAATGGTTAAGATTTACTTATAAAGATTTCATTAAAATGTCTTTATGTGTAGGTATACAATCCATATAAATATATAATCTATGTAACAAACATATCTAATGTAAAATATGAAGAGATGCAATGCATATCTGGTACCGTTTTTAGTTTCCTCCTTATTTTAGACTCCATATTTGTCTGTAAAACTGGAAGCTCATTCTTGATATCTAGAAAATGTTATGCAACTACAGCACTCTCCAACTTCTAGCAGCAATTTACAATCCAAACTGCTCTGTACTTTGTACGAGAGTGAAAAGCCATGAGTTTATTTCAGTTAATGAAACTCTCAGTAATTTATACAGTCAGGTGGTACTATCCAGAAACTACTACTTCTCTGCATAGTGGCTTAGAGTGCTTGCTAGCTAAATAGATATTCATAGCCACTTGCTTTGTTCTGTACTGTGACTGATTACCACTGAGAAATCAAGGCTGATAAGGAGAGAGCCTTGGTCAAAATTTCTGATGCTGCAAGATCAGTCCATACGGACAGAGCTACGAAGCAGCTCAATTCCGTCTGTTTTTATCATTGAGAGTCACAGCACTTGATATGTTTTTGTTATACCTTCTGAAAGTGTGATCTGGGAGCAGTAAGGCAGTACTTAGAAAAGTAGTAGTACCAGAAAGTGTGGGGATTGCATGTGCGTTGATATCAGTGAAGGCTGGATTCCTGCTCTGCTGTCCTATAGCGTAATGTCTTCTGAAAGAAAATAGTGTTTCCTAATTTGTTTAAATCCACGACAGGAAAGAAAACCAGTTGCATGGTTGCATTATGCTCTGTGATAACACTTTGTATGCCTTTTGACAACTGTGCATCTAATGCATCTAATGCATTTTTTGAGGATCTTATGTTATATGAAAATACTTCAGAAATAGAATATTTTAAACTTTTTCTATACATCATATATTGTAAAGCAGTTAAAGTCAAGAGACCTCATTATGTTCTCAAGGTCATTTGCAGACATGGGAATGTGACCCAGGTTTCCATATGCTGTAATTCATAAAATCTTTGAAAATAAGAATCAAAACAAAGTATTGTAAAGGTGGTGGGGGGAGGGAGGGGAAACTAGTAAAGTGATGAATGCTGTATTTAATTTCTACAATATTCTTCTGCTTTGTAAACTCCCATGGAGTTTCATAAACTTTGTGGAGCCAGTTCTTATTTGCACCATGTGTCTTTTGTGAGGGTCATTTGTTATTTAATTTGTTTATTCCAAGACAATAGATTGATAAACATGTCTGCTGAAACCATATACCTTCCATTTATCTGTTAAACATACTTCTTAAGTTTTCAAGTTCTGTCTTGTCAGAGGTTCTTCCTGTTAGAACCTTTCTTTCAGAAACAGGGAGTCACTTAAATCATTCGTGCATCTTTGTATTTTATAGAACTGGAACATAACTTAATACCTATAAGATTTGGCACAATTTTTCATTTCAGTTTTTGTAACACATTTCGTGAGTCAGACTGCCACCGCAGACAGTGGAAGCTCTGCATTCACAGAGTGTTCTTACTCTTACCTTACAGATGTAGGCGTATTTTGATTATTTGTTTCTATTTGTGCTAAATGTTATCAAGCAAGCTTAGGTTTTATGTCAGTGATGTATTAGTGAGAGCACAGCAAGAAGGGAGGATGATTCTACTGGCACACAATTAATAAAATTGTACACAAATAATAAAATTGCTTGCCTTACCTGCTTTGTGATCACAGTATCTTACAGCCATAGAATAAGATTGCCATTACCATCAGAAGCTGAGTGCATTTGTTCAGGCTTGTTTCCAGGATCCAGCTGGTCCTTGTGGACAATTGTTTGAGCAAAAATTTTCTAACTTGCAAAGCAGCGTGTTTATAGGAAGAATTAGATCTGCTTTAAGTAGTTTTATTGTCTGAAACACAACTTAAGTCTTCATGGTGTTAAATAAAAGGGAAATGAAGTGTGGACTTCTTTGCATTTTTCTGTTTTGTTTTGTTTCGTTTTGATTTTTGAAATATAAACACTCTGACATCTGTGTGGATGAATTTATTTTACAGCACGGCATTATAGAAGTTGCTGTTGTTAAGTTGGTAGGTTATTTTATCACCTATTCCTTGATTTGGGACTGAGGAACTGAATTTTGCCTCTCTCTTTGCTCTTATTGCAGCTAGAATCATCTAAAGGGACCATTCCACACATACTTTTGAATTACTTTGAATTTGAGATAATGCAGTACCTTAAAGTGATTAATAACAAATATTTAAATAAAAAAATGATTGACTGTGCTGATATTGTTTTCTTTAATTTATTAGAAAATGTTATTTTATAGCAAAGGACAACAAATCAGAGAATATAAGTTTAAAATGTTCGTATTATATAACAAATAAATTTACAGTATATTGAAGTATGTGTATTGTATGTATAACATGTACACATTCCTTTGCTCCTATTGCCCAGTTTTCTAATGGAATGGTAAGACAAGGTTTATGATTATTATGATCTGTTTTTATTTTCAGATTGAAAATCTACAGGAGCAACTTAGGGACAAAGACAAACAACTAACTAATTTAAAGGACAGAGTGAAGTCATTGCAGACAGATTCTAGTAACACAGACACAGCACTAGCCACCTTAGAAGAAGCTCTATCTGAAAAGGTAATGTGTTCTTATGCAACAGCACATAATGTGCTGCTCCTGCAGGTGAAGCATGTCCAGAAAATGTCTTTTTCAGTTGGTCTGGCACCTGTAATGATGCCTATGGGCATTGTCAGGAAAGCAGGTGGGCTCTGTTCTGGCATGAGGGACAAGGAGTGATTCCTGACTGATGGTGTGAAATGGAATTCTGAGATATCAAAGGGTATCCTTTTAAATGGGGATAGAGTAATGTCCCAAGACATATTACAATTTTCCTGTTCTGGATGGAGGGAATGCTTTTTCCCTGCCTAAACTGAAAGACATGAACACCTGCCTTTGATAGAAGGGAGAGAACGAGATATTTTGATGGCTTTGTGATCTTGATTATCCTGTTATTTTGCTTGGTAAACAGAGCCAAACTAAAGAGCCAACAGCAATTGACAGCTACTCCCATGGCACTCTCAGAACCACTGGTTCACTATGCTTAAGGTATAACAGAAACTGGAATTTATATTAGAAACAAAACTGAATGAGAAACAAGAATCCTGGAGAATTATTTCCAACTTTCCTACCCCTCCACCTGCCCTTTAAAAACTACATACTTTTGAACAGAAGCTGGCCCACCCATTTCAGTTTTTTTCTGCCAATTTACTTTGTATAGGAGGAGTGAATTTATGCAAAAAATACCCAACCAAAAAATACAAATAAATACTCAATTTTTTTGCATCTAACAGATCTTCATAATATCACTTCAGTGTGCACAGGTGAGCTCAACTAATTGAAACATGATGTGCCATTTTGCAGTGTATACTACAGTGACAGCATTCATGGCTACATAAGAGTTTAAAATGTCACTGTGATGTTGGTATTAGCATCTACATTGCTGATTAATTTTTTTATTTCTTTGTGTTTAATCATCTTTGCTTGGTAGACAACAGGGGAAAAACAGCATTTCTAGTAATTTCTGTTATTTCATATGGATGATTTTGGAAATCAGAAATCTGGACACAACATATTATAAGTAAATGTCAGGAATTGCTTTTTAATTTGCTTTTCTTCTTGGATGTCATCTGCTCTAAATTAGTCTAAGTTATCAATTTCTTGATCTGCCCATAGAATTTAAAGCGCTTCTCTAACCATTGTTCTACTGATGTCAGTATAGAAAGCAGAGTTAAACTTGTTAGTAGTTCTCCTTGGCACTTGAGCATGAAGTGCACCATCGGAAGCCAAAGGAGTCATGTATCCCACATTTTGCCTCAGTTATATATGTTCAAAGAGAAAATGCAGTTGAATCTTTGGCCTACTTCTTACTACTAGAAATAGAAAAGTTGAAGAAATACCGAGTTAAGATAAAGTGAAAATTAGTGAGTGATGGAAGTTAACTGTTTTCATGCCTTTTTATACCAGTGTCATTCTAAAATTTAATGAAATAAGTATAGAAGCTTTTATGATTTTTGAGATGTTTTTAATATAATGTGAAACTAAATATTCTATTAATCTCAGTTATAGAAACTAAAATTTCACTAAATTCAAGATGCAGTATTTTTTAATACAGCAATGTGGGAAGTTGGGCTATAGATTTTCTTTCCGCATGTGAAAAATTAAATGTAATAAACACTTCAGATCCTGATGTTATGGAATTTTCAGATTTCTGAAATGAAGATTCAAATTCTTTTTAATGATGGTAGTTTTACTGTTTTGGAAAAGTTAGATTATCTTTGTACGCTAGATGCAAATCCTCTGAATTTTTTATTTTTTTCATTTTATGTCTTCTTCATGTGGAATTTCATGGATATATATGAGCAGATACTTTTTAAAAGCAAAGTGATTTGTTTTTTCTGGTGTTTTTTTTTTTTTTTTTTTTCCCAAGTGGCATTGAGGAGAAGTTGCATGGATTCTCTAAAGCTGAATTCAGTACAAATTAGTCACTTGCTTAAAAAAAATTCAGTGATGAAGACAACAGTATTATTTTGCAAGACATCACTTTTAAGAAACGTCATGAGGCTGAATTGTGTTGTGGTATTTGATGACTGTTTCAGTCACTTAAGCAGTGCTATCTTTGTAAGTCTGCAAGCTTCATTGAGGCCATGCTTTCAAGGGTAGGTTTCTCAATCTTAAGTGTAGTCTCTGGGACATATTTTTATACATTAAAAGAAACTAGTAAGCTTCTTCTGGAAGTTCTAAATGAGTTGTGATGTATAGATTCTTTATTTCTTTTGGAATTAATACCTTGGCAGTTTATTTTCACATTGATGTCTCATCTTTAACTGTATCCAATTTTTCAGTTTATCCTAGCTGCTTCTCAGTTTTTAATATCAGCAGACTTTATCAATTTATTAACTTTTTCCACTGCAAATACAGTTAGAAATACAGAATAAATTTTTGCCCAAAACAAGAACACTTGATTGTAGTTTCTTAGTAACTTCTTAATCTTAAAATAATTATAATAAGTAAATTATCAATTTAAATTTGCAATGCTGTCAAGCAAGAATGCTGCTTTCATTCAACAATACAGAATTTCTAAGGACGTACAATGATTGTCAGTGTTTATATACCCCCTATTTCTTTACAGGTTAAATCCTCTATAAGCTAATCCCTTCCCCCATTCTAGAAATGACATCAGACCTATTTTGCAGCTACATCTTGTCTGATGTTACACACAGCTTTTGACTTTACCTTCATTGTTAAATTCCCTGGTTGTCAGAATTTTAGTTTGTACACAAATAAATAAAAGTCCATGAACACATTGGGAAGATCATTTAAAATGGAGCTGAAATTTATTTATATCAGTTTAATTTACCAGAGTTCACTAATACTAATTTTAGTTCCTTATTTTATGCAAATAAGAAAAATTAAAACTGGATCATATAATGAAATATTATAATACTTGAAGAGCTTCAAAATCATGAAGTATTATGAAGCTCTTTTTAAAGTTTCAAAATGGAAATGTTTCATTGTTTTTGAAAGTACTCAGACTGAGATTTAAGCTCTGAACAAGAAAATAGGACTTTAACTCTTCATGAAAGGTAGATTTTTCTCAAGTATCTCTCTCCAATTTTCTTTCACATTATGAGATTAGATAGCTTGGATGTACTATAGATGTATAAACTAATCAAAATTTTCTGTAGTGAACTGTAATCTTTATTTTTCAAATGCTATTGCTGATATCACTTTTTATCTTTTGGGAATCAGAAGTGAACCAATATAACTTTAGGTATTTTTGAGCACAATTAGAGCTCACCGAAAAAATGTACTCTTTCAATTCCTTACACATAAGCTTAGAGACTCTCCGGGTGCTGAAAATTCTTGACAATGTAGATTGCATTGCAATAAACCAAAAATAAATTCACTCCTCTTAAAAAACAAATAAAAAATTCAACTTTAAAATATGCAGAAATGCTATCAGCTCCCTTGATGTTTTAACAAGAAACTTTTCAAAGAATATCTCAGCTCTTGCGCTGGTCCAAAGCAGCTCAAGAGGCTGCTTTCATGAAGCTGATATTCATAAAGTTGGTCCTACTGTAGCAGCATACAGAAGATAAGCAATTGAGTATGCCTGATAATAGAGCTATATGCTGTGGCAATTCAGTTCCTGCTTCTGTGATAAAGTGCAAATAGATTAGACCTGTGAGGTCCTAGATTAGTGCATAGGAAAGCTTGCCAATGCAAATAGGACTGAAACAAGAACACATTGTTGGGATTTCTGTAAGCTAGTTGTTAATCAAATAAAACATGGTATATTAGGGCCTTTTAACACATGTTTTTGACATTTAGCTTTATGCAGCTGACAAGCAAATCAGTCTTCTTTTGTGATTGAATGAAGAAAAATGTATACTGTTTTATTAATAAAATGAAATAAGTGCGTGTTTAATTTGTTTTAGAAGAAAAAATACTGTTGTGTAGCTTAGAATTTACTCTATGAAACAGTGGTATTGTGCTCAGTACATCTGCTGTAGTTTCCATGGAAATAAAAAGGAGGCATTATTTTCAGAGCGATCTATGTGCATGAACATTTCCGTATGAAATCCTGCCAGGTGTTGGTACAGCCTTGGAAACGCTTAATTACACGGAGCCAAGCATTTTTCAGTTTTGGCTACTTTTGTTTTTTTTTTTCCCCCTAAGGAGAACGTAGTTCTCATCATTGTATTTTTCTTTCTAAGTAAAATTAAACAAAAGGGCTATGATTTTCAAATATGGCAGTCTTTGCTATTTTATGTGAAGATTTTCACAGTAATGCTAATTCTCTAAGCAGGTGTGTTCTGCTAGCTAAGTCTTGTGAATGGAATTCCTCTTGTCAGGGGAATACTGGATACAAAAAGAAAGCAGCAGCATGATTTCAGCTTTTTGAAAAGGTTTTCCTCAGGAATTCAGCAACACAAAATAACTGTTCCAGTAATCATATTACAAGATTATTCAATACAGTGCTGATTGTCTTCCGATATATTGAAGAGATTCCAAATACATTTGCAATCATAGGCATAGATATTTAGTAAAGATCTTAATCTGATTATTTAGAAACTCCTAATAATGTACAACATTATAACACATGTGTGATGTGCTTTTAATTCCAAATATTGGTAAAACAAAGAATAACAACTGATAGCCAATGTTACATAATTGGAAGGAAAAAAAATAATTTGGAGCATAAATGTTTGAATTGAATTGGTTCTACAAGGGGAACCAATATAGAACATATTTTGCATCTAGGTCTAGTTTCGTGTCCAAAACCAGATTAGTCATTTACATCTTATATTCTGTTTATACTCCATGTCTGCTTTCAATATTTGATCTGTAGCAACCTGTAGCACATAATAATTTGTTTACTATTAAGACATAACACAAAAGGAAGTTTATTTTTAAACATTTAAAGTAAGAACATAGAACTATAAAAAAATGAAATTGAACTTGAAAGCCAAACATGCTTAATTGCAAATACAGTGGAGTCTACAGTTAGCTTTTAAATAAGTGACAAATATTAGATAGATTAACATCCCTTTGAGAAGCCGAATGTTTTGCCGAATGGATTGGTAGAATGTGATTTTGATGAATATAGTCAAGACTTAACAAAACCCATACTAACGCTTTTAATTTTTTGCATTTACCTTTTAAAATTAATTGTCCAGTTACCAACGGGTGATTTCAGCAGTCCTTATAGCCAATATAAGTCAGCAAAATATTGAAAAACATGGCTGAATTTAAACATGCAGGGTCACTATCAATTTGATGGAGAATGGGTATCGTAAATTGGGTAGGATATTTTTTCTGTATTTTAGACAACTTACAGTGATTGATTTCTGATTATATTTGGAGTCATTAAAACTCATCTTGCAGCCTGTATAGAGGCTACTAGCAATCAAAACAACCAAACTCAATCTGAGCAAACCAGTCATGCCTTTCTGTTTTGAACTTACATACAAAGACTTCAATCACTTACAAATACAGGAAATACATTACTGAGTTGAATAACTTTCCGTGTCTGTCACAACATAAGGCACGCTCAGGGCAGCATACGTATTTAATGCAGTTTCTGTACTATGATACCCTCAACAAGTATTTTAAATCTTGATCTGGAGTTATTGACAGAAGAAATCTTCCATTGACTTCAATATCATAAACTTTAATATTCCTCTGTTTCTGAAGGCTGTTTTTTCTAACTGCTACTTAATGTAAAGAAATTTTATTATACTATTTCTTAAAATGATACCCAACTTTTGCATTTTGCTATTCTTTCCCTTGTTAGGAAAGAATAATAGAACGCTTGAAGGAGCAAAGGGAGCGAGATGACAGAGAAAGACTTGAAGAAATTGAATCTTATAAAAAGGAAAACAAAGACTTGAAGGAGAAAGTTAATGCTTTACAAGCTGAACTGACAGAAAAAGAGGTCAGTCTTCACAATAAAATCTATATTCTTCTGTGTCATGGTGATGAAAGGAAGTGCATTAGGATTACTCTTGAATCATTTAAAGTACTGAAATTTTGCCACTCCAATGGCCAGCTTCTGAACTGCTGTTTTCTTAGGCATTCTTCATAGTCCTCACTTCTGTGCGTAAAATATTGCTTCACTTTTTGCGTAGATGTGTATTGTCTTCTCTACATTTCCCTCTCCATAAGCATCCAGAAGGCTCAGAGATTACATTGTTGCTTGTTTTCACTTGTCAATCAGATCAATAGACTTCAAAATAATTGCACCTCCAGAATATAATGTCAATTAGCCTGTATTATGAATGTTTCTGTGTTTCACTATATGCCAGCTCCTGTGGTTCTGTCAGTTGTACTCTTAAAATACTGTCTTTGGCTATAAATGCTTATCTTTGTGTCAACTCTTTTTGGGGAACTGGGGGGAACAGCATCAAAGTGATTAATAAGATGGCAATAAGTTAGTGTCCCGGTGACTAGGAATTAACTTTTTGCTCTTGGTCATTTTTCAGTCTAGTTTAATCGATCTCAAAGAACATGCATCTTCATTGGCATCAGCAGGGCTGAAAAGAGACTCCAAACTTAAGTCTTTAGAAATAGCCATAGAACAAAAGAAAGAAGAGTGTAGTAAGTTGGAAGCACAGTTGAAAAAGGTAAGTTCCATCTTAAAAACAAACAAAATCTAGCTATAATCAGGAAAAAAACAAACCCTGCCAAAAGATACAAAACCTCTCATTTTGAATAGATTGACTAACTTGCTCTTCTAGAGTAATTCTAAATCTACCCATACTGTTTGCTGATGCTTGCATAAAATACTTCTAACTTTTACTTTAAGAGACTTTTACCAAAGCCACTAGAAACCTCCAAAATTATATTGAATGCCTCTGTGAGAGAATTCTGAGAATCTGGGGCAAATCAGTGAACTGGGAACAGGATGTTGGAGGGAAAGTAGAAGGGCAGAGAGAAATTATCAGACCAGCAATTTGTATATGAATTAATTTATACCTTGATTAGAAGTAAATGGAAATGCTTATAGCATAAGAAATAATTAAAGCAGCACTTTCTAATGAAAAAAGTCTGCTTCTAAGATGGAAATTCTAGTTAGGCTTTATTTCCGCATTCTGTGGCTTTGTTGACGTATGTGTGTTCATGATAATAAAGCAAAATAGTACAAAGCTTACTTCAGCTATCAGTTCATTATTTCAATTCAGGTAGTGGAAGCAAGCAGCTGAAGGAAAACATACAAATGCTGTATTTTATAATGTGGTTTCATTTAAATGTATGCGTTAATTTATGCGTTACAATATTCTTTGCTTAAATGATTTGCAAGTTCGTTTATGCTGTTTCTACCATACATTGTTTCTTTGTTTTTTTCTGTGTCATTGGTAATGTCTGCTCTCTGTTCAAATGCCAATGTCATGATGTGTTTGATGGGTTTAGGCAGTATGTTTGCCTTCTGCAATTCTTAAGTGTGGAGCAAACATTAATTTTTGATGTTTCATTTTCTAGAAAAGTATTCATTTATTCTATGAATGCTGCCACTATTTGGATAATATTCTGAATCTTTCTTTTTGACACAGGTTGAGTAGTACTGCTCTTTAAGCAGGATTTTGGTACAAGATTGTTGAAGGGTACTTATATTATCTGTGAAGAAGTTCTTGCAAAGTGTAAAAAAGGATACTGGAATGTAAAACTGAGAATTCTATTCTTTGAATGTGTTTTTGAATGTCTGCAGTAGCCTGTATTGTATTAGTTGTAGAGATGAACAGAGAGAATCTTTTCAAATAACGCATACAAAAGCTTTTAGTTAAACACAACTACTTTATAAGTTACATAGTTTAAAAGTGCTATTGATACCTGAATTAGAATATGTTAGAATATGAACCTGAAGTGTTTTCATGCGATTCCTACTTAATTTTCTTTCATTAGAAAATGTATGCATTTACATTGTGCTTCACTATAAAATATACTTTATTACAATCTAAAATATCTCATTTGTCTACAATTAGACAACACCTAGTGAAACAAATGAACAAACAAACAAAAAAATTCCTAAGGCACAGATAACTTCAAAAATAAAAATATCCTGGAAGAACCTGAGATCCTAAGTCAATCTTTTATGGCTGCACATATAAACACATCATGTGGTCATGGAAAAATAAGCACTTATAAAAATCAGAGAAGTCTAGGGCATCTTTCATATAGAAAAGGTAGTATGTTCCTTGTGTATAAATACAAAGGGTTATTAAAAGAAAGTTGAAAACATAATAGCTTTATTATATCATAAATAGAGCATAAAGCTCCGATGGAAATTCACCCAACATTTGTAGGAGACCAGGTATTTCCACAATAAAATGTAGTAACAACCTTCTTTGTGGGCATGTTTAGTTGAATAGAAACAGTGACTGTTAATACTAGTAGACTCGAAACAGTAATTTTCAACTCACATTTTCACTAATAAAATATTTTATGTTCAAACCTGTAAATATCTTGTGTTAAAATTAATTGGTCCCTAGAAATCTACCTTCACCATGCTTTCACTTTTTAGAAAACAAACTGAAACAGAAAACTGGGTTATTCTTGTCTGTGTCTGACTTAAAATAGGAGGGAACATCAGCAGCATACTTCAGAGTCAGTTAACCTAGATGCCTCGTAATTGTGCTTATTTATGAACATTAAACACTAAGGAAGCTGGAAGCATAGTCTGTATCTCCTTTCAGGGTGGCCCAAGATTGTTACTTAGTTTGAAAAACTTGATTGCAACTTCTGATTCTTTTCTCTAAATATCTCTAAAGATATTTAGAGAAATATTAAGATATTTCAAAATGATCATAGTTAAATTTTGATTTATATGTTTTACCAAGTTCTGTTAGTAGGTATGAATATAATGTGCTTAACTGCTAGGATTTACAATTTTCCATGAGTGCTAGTGGTAGTAAGAGCTGTGCCTGAAAGAAAATGTGTACAAGGGACAAGTATAATCAAAATCAGATTTTGTTTGTTCGTTTCTCTTCTTTTTTCCTCCTTTTTCCATATCCTTTTTTTTTTTTTTTTTTTTTTTGTGAGAGAAAAAGATTCATTTTTTGATAAGAAATTTGCTTTTTTAATTGAATCTTATCAAATACAAATACTTTTTATTTTTTAACTCAGCTATATTTGCTTTTCAGTAAGAAAACACTATTCGTTTTAAAGAGTGGACATGTTTGAAGTAATAAATAAGGTGTTTATAATGAGTAATTATTCAAATGACCATGCAATATTTTGGTGCGCAAAATAATATTTAAAGCATTAAGAATGTGTATTAGACAATTTAAGACAAAGATGAAGGACTGAAATTCAGGAAGTTTAAAAAAATCATAAAACAAGAAAAAGAAGAACGTTCAATGCTTTCTGTGCCAAAATTCCACAGATGACTTCTTGACTTACATTGTGTTGCTATTAGTGAAAGAGCAGCAGGAATTAACTGAATAGGTAGCTGAGTACTTTCTATGCGTGTCCATATGTATATATATATATATCTAATGTGTGTGTATATATATATTTACATGTAATCTTATTACCCACTTCAGAATATCCTCCTTTTGTTTGTCATTATCTTAAATTTAGTTGCTTACTGACATATTTGCAGTTGCCAAAGGACTTTTTGTTAAGCTGTACTGTTGAAAAGTCATTCTGCATAGAAAATTCAGTATTGTGTTAAACAAAAGAGAAGTAATAAATATAATGATAAAATTTAATCAATCACTTATTATTGCCATCTTTGAAGCTTTGGTGATAAATTGCAGCCTCGGCCAAAAGCACTTCTCATGATTCATTGCTTGAGAGCAGCACTTAATGTATCATCAAAAGTGGACACCTTTCTTTATTTCATGGGTTATTTAACTTGAGAAAGGGAAAGTAACACAAACCTTAAATTTCTTACTCCAGCTATTCTTTTTTAGGAGCCAAAGTCAACATTTATGGTTCCCCAGTGCCTCTCACTTTCACCAAGGAATGTTTAGAATCTTAAATTTCTACTTTTCTATTACAAGGTCTTCTGTGCAAATGCACTGGTTTTGTTGAGCTAATGCTGTTTTCCTGGATCTTTCCTTCTTTTCCTGTCTGTGCTTCACTCCCTTCCAACTTTGCAATGTAGCAAGCTGAACAGTTGTTCAATCAGATGTACAATCCTGTAAGTTCTTTTTAAGATGTCCTCTGTAACATATAAAGCATGAGGATCCATTACCTTACTGTGTTGTGCTCTTCCTCCGTGAAGCCTTGCAGAATACTTCCCTTCCAATGGTCACTGTGCTATATCTGTTATATCCAAATAAATGAGCTTTGTGGACTTCAAGGCCATGAAATATATTAAAAAATGCATATAATATTTCTTAAAAAATCTGAACATCCTAGCCTTTAGGTCCTCAACTTCTACGTTAGAGAAGCATGCAGTTAACTTTGTTTTATTTGGTTTTCTTTGCTTTTCACTTCCTCCTTCTGGAGTACTTTATTGGATCCTTCAAACTTAAATAACTTCTAATTTATTTAGTTTGCCTTAACTGACTGAATTGAGTAGGCAAATAATAATATCTAGGAAGTAACTGGTAGTATTTTTAAAATCTGAATGGCTAAAATAGTTCATGTCAGTTTTACTCATGCAAGACTGTGTTCATTCAGTGTATGCAATTAAGAATATAGAAACGTATTTAACCCAAGAAATTGCTGAAATATATGATGATGAACACAAGCAGCAGTGCTTGACAAGCCAAATAACATTACTTCGGCTTGCTTAGCATTATTATTCTTGCTAAAGCCTGCTTTAGTTGCTCAGTATCTATCCTTTTGACTTCCTTGTGTTCCCTTTTCTGCTTGATGAAGAGCAGTAACCAAATATTTTCTCTGTAGAGAGCACTTCCTATTTTTTGGTTGAGACTATTAATGCATCCAGCATCACAGGACAGAAATAATGATGCAACTGGATTGTAATAGCAATTAACAAGAAAAGTTTAAATAGTAATCCTTTTTGGAATGATCATATATTTGGGATAGTACATATATGAGAACTTTTTTTTTTTTTTTTTAGCTTGTTAAATCATATGATAATCTGCATTAGAAAAGATATTGCCTTCACTGAAGTTAGTGCGAATATTACTGTAATGTTGGTGGACTGGGAGTCCAGCTTTGGAGTCTACTACAGCTAAATTTTGTAGCTTATAACCATGCTTTAGATATGCCACGACTTATGTATAGGAGAAGAGTCCCACAAAATATCTCCTAGTTTCTCTTGCAGTTATCATCTAACAGTGTTTTGAATCCAGTCATAAATCGATTGTAAGTAGTATAACACCTTATATTATCTCCTCTACCATCCAGCACACAGGTGGTCAGACCTTTTCCCTTTGGAGGACAGAACCCTTCTTTTATGTATCATAGATAGCATCTGTCGTATTTATGTTCCTGTTCAAATCACTTGCACTCTTGTGCATGTCTTTTTGGACTGAAGTCTATTTTGTGTTGGATATTCTCTTGGTTTGCATATTTATTCCAGTTGTTATTTCAGTATTTGTTACTCTGCTGTATGGATCTTTTGTTATTTTCTAGTCTATTTGTGTGATTCCAAGTCAGCCAGTTTTAATTTTTTTTCCTTCCTGGTTCTCTGTTTCCTGTAGTACTAGTGAACAATTTTAGTATATCCTTGAAGCTGGATTAATAATTTTTTCTTATCTCTCTTCTGAATTCTTATGTATATGTAACAGCCTACTTTTAACAGTGTAAGTAATAATGATCCGTTTATCCCTTAAAAGCACCTAGCACCGGCATTTATGCCAGTTCCTAATAAACTTTCCTCTCAATAGTAAAGACTTATTTTTCCATACTCTTCATGAAAGCAGTATCATATCAAAAGTTTAAGTACTTGTAGAATCTGCTTCAAATTCCTTCAGTGAGCCCAGAAGTTGAATATAAAAATACTGAAATTTTAAGCAGACTAAAAAATAAAAAAAAGTTGAAAAAAGTGACTAATTATTTTTAGCTCATTACTGAAAGTAATAAAATTTGAAGGATCTGACAAAGTAATTTCTTGCATGTAATTTTTTTTTTTTTAAATTTAATAACCCAGTTGATTTCTGTGTATGCCTGTGTCTGACTATCTAAAATAAAGTGCAGTATCTGTCCATCCATTTCTGTTATGCAGAATAATGCATGCATGGTTGCACCATAAAATTATAATATTCACGTTACATGTTTGTGACGAAGTGCTATGGTGTTTCTGTAGGAAATCTGTTGTTTACATACAGAACTGTTTCTTTACTTTTAAAGTATTTGATTACTGTGACAATTAGCGAAATTATTAGTGATTACTTATTTTTATCAATTTGATAAAAATAATATACAACACAGTCACAATGCTGACAGAAAAAACACCTTAAATTTAGTGTGCTAACTTGAAACTCGGGATTGCACTTCCTATGCCTACTCTGCACACAGGAGCATTATCACACAGATAGAGAGATCAACTGCTCTGCTGCTGAAAGGTGCCCACAATACCAATTACTCTTCCTCATAAAAACGAAAGGTATTCTCCCAAGAAAACAGTGCCAGGAGAAAACTGGGGACAAAAATGGAAAAAGGATAGAGAGGAGAACAGCTAGAAGTGGAGATTTTCTAATGTATGAGATAACTGTGCATGATGAAGAATGATCCAAGCCCTTCTCTCACACTTAGTCTGCAAAATAGGCAAAGGAATCTGCCTTGCTGGGTTTGGGAGCAGTGTCTTGCAAGTAAACTATGTTTGGGATCTTTGTAAGTAACTCTATTCCTTTATTCTGGTAATGTCAGATTAATTGTATTTTGTTCTCTGCTCTTTGTCAGCATCACAAGGGTTTCCTTTAAGGGAAAGGTCCTTTTCAATAATGTTTGATGTTCTTGCTGTCCAACAAATATGGAATGATTTAAGCACCAGTGAAAGCATAAGAATTGAAAATATTTCTGCAACTTATTATTTCCCTAGCACATTATTATGCAAGACTTAACAGAATATAGTTTATATGTTTATCAGGTTTCATTTTAGTTATGAGGTATGCAGTTGACAATTTATTCAGTACATTTTGGAGCTGCTGTGTGACAGGAATTTTGTGTCACAGTTGAACATTTGACACTTTTGCATTGGTGACATTATCGTTTTTGATAATGTCACCAATGTGAAATGTTATATCATTTTTGCCTAATTATATACTTTCATCATCCAAAGTCCAGTGGGGCGACAAATAGTTATTTAAAAAAAAAAAAAAAAAAGAGAGGCTTTTCTATCTATTCTATATTGCTTCTGTCTTGGAATGAAGCTTGTTTGGAGGCACGTGGGCAAAACGTTGGGCTGCTGCTAACTCTTCTTGTATGCTAAAATGAAGAAAAGAAATGCTAGAGGCAGAAAGGTGGATGTTCTGCATGTTTATGAAATGATGGACCCAAGGCCATCAAATAAGAGAGTGATACATTGAAAGAAACAGGAAGAGTCAGCATAAGATAAGCCAAAGGTCATTATTAAGCGGGAAGATATACGAGGGTAGAAAAGAAACTGTTGCCCTCACCCAAACAGTAAAATTGAAATACTCTATGGATATTACCTTGAAATGATCTCTGTATTAAGAAACTCCGGAATCTTCACAGAATTCAGGGCTGGAGCATGTAATTGTTATCCCAAACAGAACATTTGAAGAGCAGGGCTAGTAAGTTTTGTAGGAGTCTCATGGTCTTTCTGTTGACATACTTTGTTAATATTTATATTTATTCTGAATAAGAATCTTACGGTGAGGTTAAAATGTAAAATCCTTCTCTTATTATCCTCATGCTTAAATGATATGTTACATGCAAAACTCCTAAGTTTCTTCTCACTATTTTCATTTTTCTGTTATATTAAAGCCAGACCTGTTCTTTATTTATACAAAAAATTCTAGCCATTGCAAAGAATGTGAATCTTGTAATAGCTGTAGTTTATATTGATTCTTTCTAAAATATGCACGTTCAATTTTTATTTGCATTTCTTCCCTTGCTTGCTTGCATAGTCTATTGTCTGAAATTAAGAAGATAATTACATCCACATCTTCGATGAGTAATAAGATAGTTGGAGGTCTTTCAGTTCTAAATGCCCTGAGTTTCTGTAAAATTCTCTTATAAAAAAAATGTTATCTGAATTTTCTATGTTTAGTGTGCACTGCATTAAACTACTTGTTTTTTCCTTGCCTGCTCTTTCAAGATGCCAATTAGGAATAATGGGAAGCAAGGGGTAGGCTAAGCATTGCAGTGCATTGTTGTTTTTCCATCTGTCTGTGATTATTCCAGTCAAGAGTTTAAAGCACTTGATGTGCCTGATCATGCTCCCATTGAAGTTTAATTGGGTTTTTGCCATTAGGTTTGATGGGAGTAAGATCGGACTCTGCAGTGTTGTATTCATTTCGTTTGTTCTTGTCTGTGAAACTGCCACCCATCCATGCATGTGTTTGCCAGGTTTGTGCCATTTTCACCAATAAGCTTGTTCTTCTGATGTTTCAGGTTAAGTATTAATGATGGGGAAAGAAAAAAAGGATTACTGGATAAAAAGTCAGATAAAAGAAACCTCATAGTTTATCAATTTGTCTTTTATAGACAGCACCACTTACAGTAAATTTCTTCCTTTTAGATTATTAGTATTAAACTGTGTTTGAAACATCTGGTGACACAGTGCCACAGATTACAATGTGTACATACATTTCTGTACATACGCATGGATGAAGTGTATATGTACGGAGAAAGAGATCATATTTGAAAGACTTAAAGTGATTCAAGTAATTGACAGTTTTGTTGTTTTGTTTTTTTTTTTTAAAGTAAAAAGCCCGACCCTCAAAGTATGGTCATGTTGATAAGTAAAACACCCAAACATTCTGTTTAATAACTAACCTCCCTTTCAGGATGAAGCCTTGTTAAGATAGAATTTAAAAGTAATTTTAGACTGCAGGGAGCTTCGAGTTCCTTTTTATAAGTCTTATGTAGAAAAATGTTATCTGACAGAAATACCCATAATCCTTTTTAATGAAAACTAAACTCCAAGACTGAAAATGAGAATTCTTACAATGACTTAAGTTATTGTCATCCTTTTTTCTTTCTCTTTGTTTTTTTTTAAATATTGATTCTGAAGGCTCATGAGGCTGAAGAGGAGGCACGGATGAATCCAGAATTTGCAGACAGAATGAAACAGCTTGACAAGGAGGCATCATACTATAGAGAAGAATGTGGCAAAGCTCAGGCCGAGGTTGACAGACTTCTAGAAATTCTTAAGGAAGTAGAGAATGAGAAGAATGACAAAGATAAGAAAATTGCTGAGTTAGAAAGGTAATTCTTGTATTATTTGTCTACCATTGAATGGCATTTTTATTTACTTGATCTCCACTACCAATGAGAGAAGTTGATGATAGAATGTGCAGGTTTTTCTAATAACAGAATTTTGTGATATCTTGTAAAACTGTATGAGAAATGAAAAAGATTTTGATACTTGAAAATCACATCTGTCTGCTGGTTTGGAATGATTTAAAGTTGTCACTATTTTGTAGTCTCCATAAAAGGAACGTATATAGGAAATTTACAGTGACAGTCATCCTGGAAAACTGTGTTAGGGGAACAGCCTTTTCTTTCTAGTAATAGGTAAATCAAAGCTGTCCACACAAATGTTTCTTCAGTGTGAAAAGAATTGCTAGTTCTCAGATGTACTAAAAAGCATTGGTAAGTATTTCTGCTCCTGGCTGTTCGTATTTCTCAGTGGCTCTCTGGTCGTTTTTTTTCTCTTGTTGACCAGGTGTTTGTTTTCTTATTTCTGGGACAGTTATACGGTCATTCCTTAGTGGTGGCAGGAGAGTTCAGAGCTCAATTTGTCTTGCGCATTTGGAATTAAATAACTGTTGGAAGATTCTCACATAGAATAACTGGCAAGTTATTTGACTGACGAGAAATTTCTGTGTCTCTGATTTCTTGTTCCCTTTCTGTACTCTTAGACACTGTTAGGTAAATTAAAGAAGAACTTGCATATTTTTGAACATTTTACTGATTAACTAGTTGCTAGTCTAGTGATTAGATAGGAAGAACAGGTCTTCTTGATGCAAAATAGGAGATTTAAGGAATCTCATGATTATTGCTGTTGTTCCAGTCAGGACATAGCATAACTCTGTCATGTTAGAGAGAATTGTCATGATACCTGGAAAGGTCTGTTGGAAATATTGTTTACGAAGTTGCATAGAATATCTCTTACTGATGATGACTTATCAGCCTTCACAGTTCTGTTGCCAGAACTCATCTTTCTCTACAGAATTTGGCAGAGATTTGTTGTAATAATAATAAAAAGAATGGAATACAACTATTAATCAATTTGTCATGAGAATTAAGACCTCAAATTTAAGGTGAAGATTTGTGCTTGAAATGTAGCTGATTGTTTACATGATGATGGCTTTAGTTAGCACTTACCTCTCTCACCATATCAGGAGGGGTTTTAGAATGCTCCAGTATTTGCATGGATTTTAATTTGTAAAGTATATGATGGAGAAAGCTATTTAAGAGGAATTGTCACTTATGCACAATGAACGAGTTGTGCCTAAATTCTCCAATATCCTAAAACACCATATTAGAAAAATATAACACAATTAATGAACCTATGTGGGCATGAAATTTCTGATTATTTCATTCACTGCTGCATGTACTTGTAGGGGCAACTGCACAGCTAGATTTCTAACGTAGTGAGACCAAGTGGGAGCAAGCTGGTGGAGATGGATAGTGTATTCTTTACAGGAGCAGTAACTGATACCCACACTGGGCTCTAAAACATTCTGAATTATTATGTGACACTAGATGCAATAGTAGGCATGCTAAACTTTATTCCAAGAAAATAATCTTAAGAGATTTATTAAGTAGCAATCACATATTTGCTAAATGGTTGAATATTAAAGTGGTAGTTGGGATTAAATAATAAACATAATGAAGCAATGAAATTTATGATCTATTTTTTTAGTAAATATTATTATTATTTTTTAAGAGATAATCCATGGCAATTCATGCTTTTATCTGAATTAAATTTAGAATTATCCACTGATTAAAAAGAAACATGGGGACTACTATTACTATGGCTTTGTTAGCGTGCCACCTCTTACTGTCTGAGAAACCTGCAATGGGTTCTGTAACTTCCTTCTCTTCTCTCTTTCTTCGATAGCACTTTCAACAGCGGCATTTTGGGATGCAAGTTTTGTATTATAGATCAGGGTCAATACTGAACTACTTTTTTACAGAGAAATTTGGTGCCACTGAGTAAGCACATACTTTCTCAAGAGGTTATGCAGCATCTGGAATATGATCAAGAAGTTAAGCTTTGCTATGAACCTTTAAGTGCTTCTCTAATGCTTACAATAAGATATCTTTGATATGACGAGCCAAAGAAGGAAGTATATTGTTATATTTTATGCTTTAAGATTTCCTTGTGAGGTCTATTAATTGGAAATCACTTTCTCATTTGATTTAAATTATAGAACAGCTCCCAAGATTAATTCTAAATTCTTAGACTATATATTATTGTAAAACAGAAAAATGATGAACATAGAAATTATTTATTGTTGATTGCAACAACAGAAGTTAAATCTTTATTGCTACTTTCCAGTGTGTGCGTAAGCACAAAATGGTTGACTGGTACAGCAAGCCTAGCAAGCTGCCACCAGTATAGAGGTGTAATAGGGAAATACTTTTTAGATAGTGGGCATAACTGCTTGTAGTAATCAGGGTCACTTGAGTTTCTCTACAGTTTAAATTCTGTTCCCTCCCTCTTCCTCAGTTTTGATTAAATATTGGCCGAAGATCTAACTCTATATATAGCTGTGCCACCTGTTGGCATCCCTAGAAAGGGAACTTTGATGCTAAATTCCCATTGTAGGGGGCTAGGTAGAGTGTAAATTACTATAACATTTTATGAAGTGTGCTACTATTTTTTCTGCTTGTACCGATTACATGCTTGGCTCATTATTGAAGGGAAAAGGCGGAGCCAGAGCTCAGTTTACTCCCTTTATGGGAATAAGGTATTGTGAAAATGACTGCCACTTGAACAGAAGCATATTTTTAAAATGTTCACTTCTCCTTGTCATGCTGTTTTTTAATTCAAATAACTCGTGTGTTGCTAGTTTTTTCTCTTTCTCTGTTTTCATTCTCAGGAACATCATATCTTCAACATTTCTCCTAATTTCATATGCAAGACTTGTCTGGTGTTCTGTAGGAAAATTAATTTTCTTCTGTAACATATTTGTTTATTGATGGCTTGCTGGAATCCATGTTCACTGCTATGCTATATCTTTAGATTTCAACATAATTGCAACATAAATTCTTGATATTTATAAACATAAACTCCCAAGAGAACTGTAATCTAGAGTACTTCAAATGATATCTTCTCAATATTTGATGTATCCGCTCATAAATTCATTAGCATTATGGCATGCTCATAAATTCAGTTCATCTGAAAAATAGAAATATGTTTCTGATGATGTTATCATTTACAAATAGGAATGAAAACAAGATCAATTACTTTTAAACAGAAAAGTTGAACATGTATGAGTGTCAAATACTGAAAAGCAGAAATATCTCCTTCAATATGTGGGGAATTAAATTTATAATGCTATTTGTCAAGTGAACGTTATTAATAATACTGAAGAAAATTTTATCCTTATGGTAATTCTCTTGGTTTTCACATGACTTTTGAACTCAGAAGCTATCACACTTCTGAGTTCCATCACTTAAGATTCATGATTCATGCTGTTCTTCATACGTACAAGCTTGTTGGTCTGTTTTCCCAACCACTACGTATATACAAACATATTTTGTGTTTTCATAACTTACCATTACTACGTAGAACCTTGCTCCAACAATAGCCACTTCCTTGATATCTTCTATTACATCTTTCATCATTTATTTGTTTATAATGAGACTAGATTAAATTAAAATGCAGTATATTATGGATTAATGTACTTTTAGTAAACTTAGCATGTTGTCTTTCTTTGGTTTCATTTATTAAGGAAATGTGGTATATTTTTTTTGCATAATGTAAATAAAACCAAGCAAGATAGTGATTAACTTAAATGTTAATGCAAAGGGTCTAGCCAAAACAAGATAACTGCAGCTGACAAGGAACAGTCGAGATGGAATGTGTGTATTGTTTAATGCTTTATTAGCAATGGTAGAATGAAAGGTATTATTGTTTATGACATGTACTGGGGAGTTTAAATAAGGAAATGAATTTAAGTGAAATGTAATAGTATAATATGCCTGACTGAAGTTATGACCAGTAAAATTGCTCACTGTAAAATAAGGATAATACTTGATGCAGTTTAGGAAGAGAAAGATTGAATAAATTTGCTTCTGGCAGTGTTGTCGTGAGCCATCTAAATAATGAAGCAGACATCTAAACAATGAGGTGTAAATCCTGGTATGTCAGAGCAAATGTTTGCAATAATGATAGGAAAGTATTAATGTCATTGAGCACTAGCAAGACCCCATTTGGAAGACTGCTGAATACCTGCCATCAGTCACATTCCAGAAGGTTGAATTCAAACTGGAAACAGGTGCAGCTGAGGGCTCATGGGATAGTTGGGCGAATGGAGTGCTTGTGTCACAGGGGTCTAAACTCAAATGTTGTTTCTGTAGCAAAACAAAGGTTCAGTAAGGATGTGTGCTCTCTATAAATAAATATGAAGGGGTAAAAGCTGCAGTGATAAAGAAATGATTTAAATAAAAGAAGAGTAAAATTCATTGAAAATAAAGAATCCATTAATAAGTTTAGAATTGAAAAAATGAAGGGAAAACACATCTTCTAATTCTCAGAAGAAGGAAGGCTCTGAAACAGCTTTCTAAATAAATCAAAGGGAATGAGAAACCTAACTGGTTTTAAGGTGCAACTTGATACATGTATGAATCAGATTATAATATATGGCCTGCAACTGCACACATGATTTCAGTCCTCTGAACCAGCATATTTATGGTAGTCTTGTGCTCTTGCAAGAGTAGCATGCTGTTAGCAACCTGTGTGCATGACATGTCTCTGTTAACTTTACCTTATTTAACATTCCACAGATATCTATGCAAAGTAGATATCTATGCAAATGTGCTACTTATATTAAATGTAATTTCTTAGGGGACGAGAATAATAACTGAGTGCTCTGAGAATGCAAGAAATGCAGGTATCTCCTCTGGGTCTGCATTGTGCCCAGTCCAAAGGATTGGGAGAAAACAAAATAATGTTCTATGGGCACATGGATGAAAAACAACTGAAGAGGCTGCCTTTGCTCATAGAACACAGTGCTGTAAATAAAATTCCAGGCTGTTCTCTGGACTTTATTTTAAAAAAGCATCGTATGGGATGATAAATTCTGTGTAAAAAAATATTGTGTGAGGAAGGAAAGAACTGGATTAATAATTGCTTTCTCAAACAGGATCATATTTAAGCACACCTTGCCTACAATTGCTTTGAGTACCCTTACCAGAAAGGCCAGACTACCTATCAAACAGCAACACTCAGTGCAGGATGCAGTGGTCTTTTAGTTTTAGTCATCCGTGGAGCAGTGACAGAGCTTGGGCAGCCATCATCTCAGATCACTTTTTAGGTACTACACTTTGTGACCTCAGTTAGATCTTTGAAGATGCTGCCAGATTGTTTCGTTGTTATGCCTTTTATAAGTAGATGTGATGAATGTAGGTCATCAAACTCCTCTTGGCTCAAAAAAGGCTTCATGATATATGATGAAACGTTTACCAATGAACAGCTAATTTGTTTGCTACATGATGGTGCGTGTATACATTAGGGTGCTTATAAATTCGGATATTTGTGGACCATGTTTGACAGTCCAGAAATGACAAGGTGCCATTTGCTTTAAAATATCTGTTGTGCTGAGTATACAGCAAGCATGTGCTGTACAGAAAATTTATTTTACTTTTCTTTTTGCTTTCCTTTTCCTTTCCTTTTTTTACTTTTTTTTTTCTTTTAAATAAAATCTGCTAATATAACATCTTGTTATATTTTTAAAGAACTAATGTGTTCCTCCCTATATTCTCTTTTGCTGTCTCTCTCCCTATCTGTTTTTCTCCAAACTGCTGCTTTCATCCCTACTCCAACCAGCTTGACTTCCAGGTCAGTATTTTCTGCTCTCCTATTTGATTGCTTCTTCCACAAGCAAGGTTTTCATTGATGCTCAGTTTATTTGGTCATTTTGATACCACATTAGTAACCTTTGTTTGAATTTTTTGTTTTTTGTTTTTCACGCTTTGCACTGTTATGAAGTTTTTGGTCATTCCACATCTAGATCAGAAACTTCACAGTAAATGAATGCTTTTGCCAAAAGCTTGTAAGAAAAATGCATTTATTAACAACATATCTAATTTGTATGTTGTGTAAAGAGTTTTTTCTTCTTCTACTTTTATTATTTTTATTTAGGAGTTCAACATTGGGAGTAACTTTTTGATAGGTAACCTAGCAAGAAATAATTGAGTAATAACAATACTATGCAGAGAGATATATGCTTACAATTAGAGACATATTTTGCTGTCATCACTTAAGCTATTAAACTATTAATGCAAACATATGAGAGTTTGGAGTGGTTTGGCTGCTGATTCAGAAACATTTAGCTATTTGTTTTGGCCAGATTCTGGATGAGTACATAATTGCAATGAATGTGTGTATACGTGAACATTTTGTATACTGTTTTTATATGCCTCATGTTCTTGTCAGATATAAGCTTTATTTTCTTCAGTGTTCTATATAAGTTTCATTAGCATTTGTGCTCCTGCACTATTTTTGAGGAATTTTAAAGAATTTGGTAATGTTCTCAAGTCCTGAACAGGTCATCTTCTCTGTTGAGTTCAGTCTTGTCTGCTTTACCACTCCTTTCCCACATTATGCAGAGTTCTTCCACAATACAGTGCACCCCTGAAATGTTGCTCACTAATTTAAACAGTACTTCAAGAGCTGTCATGAGATCTTGAGAAATTGAGATCTGATCTATTAAAAATGATTTTTTAAAATATCAAAATATGATTTGTTTTCCAATTTGAGAGAAGATGAATGTTGTTTAAGGGATTTTTGTGATTAATTATTTCTACCAGGCAAAATTCCTGGTTCTGCAGGGGCAACTATTACCCTCTACTGATGCTTTTGGAGGCAAAATAGGTGCCACACTGAAGCAATGTCATAATGATCTGAGTACTAAGAAAGCTTAAAACCAGGCTTCAAACATTTGAAATAATGAGCATATCAAACAATGAATCAGAGGCTGAATGTATTTTTATTTTCTTAGCTGCCATCTAAAGAATGAAAATATTTTGTTGTTGCTGCTACTGTACATAGCATAGGTTCTTAACGATAAATGTTAATGGTCTGATTTTGTTTATTGATATCAAAATATGACATGGGTAAGGTATAGATAAGTCTTGTTTTCTTTACTGAAGTTGCTCTCTTTGAGGACAAACAAACCTGATTTTCAATCATTTTTGAAGTAGGAGGTGTGTACTTTTTCATAGATCAGTTGGGTTAGAATATGAGTAAGGTTGTATGCTGCAAAGACCTTCCAGGTAGATCTCAGGTACCAAAGTTTTGCATTTGGTGCTACAGTTCCACACATTGTGTTGCCATGCAGCACATTTGTCTGGAATCTTGGCAAATCTCCAACATGTCTTTATAATGTGTTTAGATCTGAAGTTTACAGATCTTTTATGGAAATACATACATTTTGCATCGTTCTCTGTTTGTATAGAAGTTGAGCTCAACAGTTAGGAGTTTCTATATCTTGAGCTCAAAACCGAGTACGGTCCATGTTTCCCAATTCAGACACATCAGAAAAGATTCTAATGTGAATGTTTTTGAACCATACGACCAAAGATGGCTCATAATTAAAACACTGATGAGACTATTTTTCGTGGTGTGCTTTAGTGCGTATTGCAATGGCAACTTACTTTCTTACTGGAAAGTTCTGTTTCTGAAATTTGTGTCCTATCTATTGCAATAATGAATAGGATGAACACTTTATTGTGCTTCACTACAAGAGCACTTTAACATGTTTGAATAAACCTTATTGCACCCAAATTATAAAAATAGTGAAACAGTTTTTCAGCATCTTTATTTCTGCCAGAAAACAATTAGATGAATTTACTCTAGTTCTGGCTATGATGAAGGTGCTGGCTAAATGACTACTATGGCACTTCTGTCAGTACATATTCAAAACTTTATTGAAAATCTCCCTATCCCAAAGGAGTTTAAAGAAAGTTATTATGTTAGGCAGTTGACATTATGATTGATTTCACCTGAATTCAATGATTGGTATGCAGAAACCTTTGTTCAGCACTGGGAGGTGCAATTTTTGTTATATTTTATTGACTTAAAACAACAACTGACCTTTCTGAAGCAAATCCGGCCAATTTCCATCCCTGTAGTCATTCATACGTGGTAGTATATGATTAAAATTTACTGCAGTATTGCAGTGAAGTCTTAAACTGTTGCAGCTTGAAACACGGTTAAGGTCAAAACTCAATTTTAATAGATTTATTAATCTCTTTAATTTCTGATAATCAGTATATTCTTAACTGTCATTTTATTAATGATTGGAAAGGTTAGAAAAATGCTGTAGCTTTTTTATAACTTGATGAGCTATTGATACTGCTGGCAAAGAAGATAAAATACATTGACGTAAAATAATGTATGTATTTTAATATAAAAATCTACTTATGCTATAAGAAAATCTCAACACAAAAATCAATCAAATTACTTTTTTTTTCATTTGGTTTACAGCAAGTTGTGTACTCCTCACACTTTTCTGCCTGTAGATAAACAGGAGATGGTATTTTGCTGGAAATTTTCCCACTGGCTTCTAATGTTGGCCTTCTGTGGAAAACTAAAGCTCCATTAGATGTGCAAGGCAAGGTTTAACAGAGCTTTAAATTTAACTTACAAGCCTTCTGCAATTTTGTCAAATGTCAGTTTGATGATTCCAAGGGCAGAACTATATGTTGTTCACAGATAATTTCCCTGGAGAAATTGAGATAATGTACCAATGAAAACTGAGAGAATCTGTGATACATAGTACTCTTCTGAGAGTGGTTACTCTAAGTGAGAAACATAGCTGTTATATTGGAAACTGGCAGATTGATGTCATGTCTTTTTGTTTTAGTCTGTTTGCTTCATATACAGAATCAACATTTTCATACTGTTTGCATTTTAACATTTAAGCACATTGAAAGAGATTAAAATTTGATAAGAGATATTTATGTTTATCTGATTATGTTCTTGAATTTCTGTGTGCTTGCATTTAATTTTATTTAAGAAATAGTAGCGTAGAACTTTTAAATAATTGGAATTCCTTCTTTTAAAAGAACAGAGTAAACAATCATAGGCTATGAAATAAGATTAGTTGATAGAGTTGAAGAAAGTTAATAAGACAGCACACTAGTTTTGGCAAGGAGGAAGATCCACAGCACGTATTTATTTACTTTTTGAATAAATCAGCCACACACCACTGCCATGGGAAGCTCAGTGGCTGCCTGGATGCAATGCTATAAGGATTCCCTGTGTGGAACAGAGGGATGTGATGTATGTGAAGAATCATGTGAGATAATACGACTTACCCTCAAAAAGCTGTCACTGGAAAGAGACGGGGTGCTAAATTTAAGAATAGGGCTGTTAATGGAGCCTCCTATTCTAGTCACAATTTGCTTCCATAATGCAAGAGCAATGTTAATGGGCAGCATATGAGTGGATAGAAATGCTCTGAATGGAATTACAACGAGGGGAAGTTATTACTAACTTCCAAACAAGTCAAAACAAGTAATCATATAATGGAATTCTGAGGACTTGACTGTAAAAGCACAGAAAGATTGGATGATAAAGTCTAAATGGACCCCGAGAACTGCTAGGTTGAGCCAGGAGTTGCAGTGAAAAGATTTGATTTAGAAGGAAAGTGCAGCAGAGGAGGTTTGATTCTGATTGCTGTCAAGCTGAACATGCTGTGGAGGGTTTGCACAAAATAAATAAACATTGCCTGATGAGGCAGTGGGAAGACTGAAAAACATCAAACATCAGAGAGCAAACTATTTTCAGTTACTGGTTACAGCTATAACTGATGATATCAATTATTAAAATAGCTGAGTAAGCAATTAAAAAATTTAAATCAGATCAAATATTCTTCTTATCTAGTGTCCTGTCATCAGGTTTTTCTTTTATTTTTTAAAGAACATAAGAAGCAACTGCAGATATCCTTGATTTACAAGAGATGTGTGGCAGATGAGTTTTCTGGTACAGATTTCACACATGTTCGTTTCAAGTGTCATGCACTAAGAATGTGCTGAGAGAGACAGTAGTGCAGTGCGTGGCATTGAGGTTTCAGTGGTTGCAGAGTAGATGTGTGTTGAAACAAAGTGATACGAACTATAGTTCAGAAACAGGATTTCAGTAGGTCTTTTTCATTCATGCACGATTCTCATGTGAGTATTTCTAATATCTCTCCAGTGGTTTGCAGGCAACTTTCTTAAACAGAGATTTTGGAAATATTTCTAGATTGGATGTTAGGTAAACCTTTCCTCCCACATGTTTTGCCTTTGAGGTGGGAAATGTTTCAGTGACTTCTGTGTCACTTGCTACTTGCTACACCTACTTCTAGCAGGCAGAATTGGTTCTGTCACAGCAGCCGTATGTTCTCATGGTACTTTAGAAGGCAAAATAATTGTTAAACTGAAGCACTGCAATAATAATCTGTGGGTCAGAATTCTTAAGACAGCACACAAACATTTGAAATCATGAAATTTTAAGAAGAGGCCTATAGATTTGCTGAGGGCTGCAGATTTGCTCCTTTGAAACTGAAATAGTGTGTAGTACACTGGTAAATGGAGCTAAGAATATAATGAAAACATTATATATGCTAAAATTTATTTACCTTGCTAACTGGCAATTCTGGGCATTACAGAATTTTTGCATTCAATCTGAGAATTAGTGATGTAGGAACCAAATCATTTGGAGAGTTTTAAGTCATTGTTTGTTTTGGATGATCTTTAAAATTCATTGTTTTTGTTGGTCATTTTGTTTTTACTCCTTTGTATGAATACACAAAGTGCATGGCTTCTCAGTTCTCCTGGGAGTAGGAGTATGAG